TGGGAAAATGTAAAATGCTGGTAGTTTAGTATCTCACAGTAAATACTCCAAACATTGAGGGACATATTAATACTATTAATTCTCCTAATTTTGTAATAAGTAATACATAAATGTAAGCTGCTTTGCAAAGAAGGGTTGGAGCTCTGCCATTGAGGTTACATTTAATAAGTATTATTTATGACATTACAAAAATGTAAGGACTTGAGCGTGTGTCTTATGAGTGGAATAACTACCATCTCCTGTGCTAAATACCTACAGAGTATGGAGGCTGAGGAATTTCTTCATCCAGGGAATCATCATCATCACTGAGTTAATGGCAAAAACCATCAAGCCACTCTATTGAAAGGTATCTTCCAATCCCCCTTGCAAACTATAGTGATTAGTCACTAACTAACATGCTCTTCTTTTGTATAACTAAATGTGTCTTCTCCATACTCATTCTCTGCGGCCTTTGACAGTATCAACCTGCCATTTCGCTTTCTCTGCCTAGTTTTTCTCTACTCTACGTTCTGTAGATTCTCTTGGCATTTCCCAAGGAGCTGTTTGTGGCCCCCTCCTTTTTTACATTCTCTGCACTTGTCGTCCAGTTGCCCTCCTTCACTCCCAGAGTTTGTTTTTTTTACCTACCAGATACCAAAACCCCTCAAATCTACTTTTCTCCCTCCCTGACCACAGCTCTGGTTCTCATTTCACCACTTTCTTAGACTAAATATGAAAATTGAACTGCTCATTTTTCCTATAAAAGCCTCTTCCAATCCTGCCTATTTCTCCAATAATTTAACTTTCCATCATGTTGATGCAAAAAAAAAAAAATAGGGGGCTACATTAATAATATCAGCCAGTGTAGTGCATCTAAGATATGTCTACCACCATGTGTAACTGATGGATTTTGCATGTTTCTGCCTCGCTGCTATTTTTATCTTGTATCATCAATACAAACAAGTGATTTTAGTAACAACAACTATATTAAAACAGAGAAAGAAAAGCATCAAGCTCACATGGGAGAGATTTTCCTTCTAAACTGCAATTCCCAAGAGAGAAGTTGGGTGAGGTAATATTGTTTATTGGACAAACTTCTGTTGGTGAAAGAGACAGGCTTTCAAACTACACAGCATGTGTCTTTCACCAACAGCAGTTGGTCCAACAAACAGTATTCTCTCACCCAGCTTGTCTCTCTAAGATCCTGGGACTAACACAGCTATAACACTGCAAAGGATATTCCAAAGGACAGATGAAATTAGATACCCAGAAAAAGCTATTTGGTTCATTTTTCAGAGAACACAATTTTCATTGGCTGCAACTGAGTTTGTCGGCATACAGCTCATTTACACAAAGGATCTGATTAGTTTAAATGGTTTCATTCGATCAGTAACCTCAGTGAAGTTTTTTGTTGGTGTTTTTTAAAGGTAGCTTCCTGATGCAGTACATGACTCTTTTCAGCCATTCATGAGCCAGGATTTTCTACCCGTACAATAAATTTACCAAGCCTGGCAAACTCCACCAAGATTTGCACTTTCCTACAGATTATTGCCCTAGCACACCATAGTTGGCATAATGTATTTCCTCCATTGTGGCAGAATTAATCTCATCATCATTGTAACTGTTAAAAACCAGACTACCATACATGGTCAAGGTCTCCAGGTCACTGGTATTATACTTGCCACCCCTACTCCAACAGCTCTATGTCAGTGGGTAGCATAACTCAGCCCAGCTGAAAGCCAGTCCCATTCATTTCAGTACTTTCAAGCAATATGTCATATGGATTAAAAAAAAAATTAAATGTTACAGCTGTTATTTTTGGTGCCTGGTCCCTGGTGGGCTATAAAGGAAACTTATGAGACTAGATAGATCCCAGCTTGGAATTCTACTACATGAGTTTTACTGCGGGGAATTTTGGTCCAGCCAATCTGATTGTTCTGTTTTTGCAGCCCATTCTATTATGATGAAACAACAATGGCTGATAAGATTTCCTTGTAAATGCTCGAGTATTCCCAGCTGACTATTGTATTTTGGAACTGTTCGTATCGTTGCAATGAAATCCTTATCTTTGAAACCATGGACCTTAGTTATAACGGTCTCTTGTGCTAATGGACTTTTCCTAATATCCAAACAGTGTGAAACTTCCCCAAAGGACCTTTCACCTGGCCAAATTCTAGACTTTGGCTAGAACCTCAGGGTTTCAACACATTTCTCTAGCTATCTAGCCTCCCACCACAGTCCAATTTTCTGGTTCGTCACAAAATCTTTCTTTTTAAACTCTTTGCCTCTCTGCCATTGGAGGCACTTCCTGGTCTGTTGCTGTGTCATTGAGAAGCAGAAGGTCAGCACTACTGAAATTCACACAAAAATTGTAGGAAAAAAAGAAAACTACCTATATATATATGAGGGAAATGTTGCTAAAGTAAATGATGATGAATATTCTCAGCATGAGGAATCAAACACCAAAACAAACATCTATCTGGCTGTTGGCTGCCCTGGATGCATTGTAACAACTCCAGTCTTCTCAATACACTCTTTGTTCTGTAACGTTGAACAGAGGAGCCTGATTGTGTCATGTTCTGAGCACCTCCTTCCAGCTGCTTCATGCCTTCATTTGACAATGCATTGAGTGCACTCAGCTCTTGTCAAGGTGAGACCCGTAATAGTATCCCTTCTCCCCCCAGCACTTAAGAAATGCCCAAGGAAGCAGGCAGGCCAGGTGTTAAGAAAGGAACAGATAAGGCAACAAATGAGAGATGGTTCAGTGACCCAAAAGAGGTCAGACCGAAGCTGAAACTTAAACATTATAAACAGGAGGTTATGTAGCTGATCTAAAAATAATCATTCTATTTTTGTGTCTTAGCATTCCCAGCTGCTGCCTGCTGACCCAGGAAGAGAGGGCCTACAATGGGGAAATCAAGCCCAGCTCCCCCTCAGCAATGCAAAACACAATACCCTAGGCTGGTCCCAATGCCACTTTCTAAACCAATAGGAAAGCCGTTTGCAGACAGCTAAATGTCTTCTAATTGAATGAACTAACCCGGATATTAAATAAATACAACAAATCCTGCAGACAAATACTCAGCAGCTCTGGCTACAGCTTCCTATGGTTGTCAACACACAGCTACCAGTGCCATTTTATAACCGGAAATCTTTAGGGCATCTGACCCCATCCTTTACCTTCCCTTTCCTCCACTCCATTTTATGCACATCATCATAATTGTATGCCATCCAACAACTCAATATAATTGATAGTCTCTGATTGAGAAGATCCCAGAACTGGAATGATTGTTAATGTTGCACGTCAGGGTAAAACAGCAATGGCAGTTATCTGGGAAAAGCCTGGATAAACACGCCAGCACTATGACCATTTCTAACCAGCTCCAAGAGACCTTCACTTTCACGGGTACTAAATTTTCTCAAAAAGCAGAGTATCATATTCTGCTATAGTGGAATGGCTGCTGCCATGACCAACAGTTTCAAATGGTTTTCATACTTTGTTTCATGCAGACTGATAAAATTAAAGATGACTCCAAGCCAAAGAATTTAGATCTCATATCAAACCCACAGCCTCATCCCAAAGATGAGAGGTGCTTGGAACCAGGGGGTTGTTCCGGCTTACAACAGGCAGAAGGGGTAACCACAAAAAGCAAGATCCAGGACTTTGATTTGGGCCCAAACACCAGTTAACATTTTTTTCTCCACAATAAAAGTTTAAGTAGCCATGGGTTAGTTCTGTCTTTCCTGGCTGACTATTGGCTCAGTTTTAAGGTGCCATGCACACCAAGGAACCACATACAAATGTTGAACCATTACCATCATCAGAAGCAGAAAGAGCACCATTGATTCATTTTAGGGAGCAATCTGTAGTCTCTTGAACCGTTATCCTTATAGAAACATTAATATAATAAAAGAAAAATCTGTATATCACCATCCTCAAAATATCCGTTTTTAATACAGTATTGTATTGGTTATTTGTATTCAAGGAACACTTGGCATTTATACATAGTACTTTACTTACTTCAAATCACAAACATTAACTAATGGATGCAACATCATGCTCAGTTTGTGTGGTAGTTTTTGTGAAGTGTGAAAACTGCAGATGAAGATAAGATTCAAACTCTTTTCTACTAGTGAGCCAAGGCTGGATTTGAACTCCAGTCTCTAAATGGCAATGGCCAGTGCATTTAGCCTAACAAACAGTGAAAGAATATTAAATAGTAAAGCTGGCTAACAAGGAGCCACCATCCCATAAGATGAAAGTGTGTCTTGTCTACATTATATGAAGCTGTCTCCTACACAGAGTTGACTCTCAGAGACACATTACCAGTAGAAATAATTTTCTATTTCAGCTTTGGGTTTTTTAATTCCGCATATTAAAAGGAAAAGATCTATTAAGATTTAAAAATGTCAAAATACACTCATGTCGCTAATGCCAGTCTCCTTGAGAGACAGAAAGCAAGCATTGTGGCTCAAAACAGCCAACTCAACACTGACAATCAGAGAGGCTAAAATAATATAGGAGCAATAAGAAATGTGCTTTGAACTGTCAGCCCCTTCGCTTTGTTAACTTCACTTAGAATCTTATTTACAAATAGAGAAATATGTCCTGTTTCTTGACATTCCTAAAAAAAGCAGAAGTACCAACACTAATGAGTTGTGAAAAATATTATACCAGGGTGATCCTAGGTCAGTAGGGGATCTAGTATCCTGCCCCTATCCCTGCAAGTTCCTTTCCTCCCAGCAATTTACCATTAAGGAAGACAAGTGTAATTCCCATATGTCCTCCAGACTCCTATCAGCTGCAATCCTGGTTCACTGGAAAGTGATTGACAGCCAATACACAGGATTATGGGGCACATCTAAGACCAAGGGGCTGCCGGAACTGAGTTCCATCTGCAGCACCATTCTGCTAGCAGAGACCTGAACACCAGGATCGGTGTTTCAGGTTCCCTTGTTGCTACTACTCTAGCCTTTATGCCATCTATTCTTGGTCCTTCTGAAAAACAAAACCCACAGACCTTTCTGCAGCATGGCTGTGTATCAGAAGAAGGGTGAAGAGCTGATTGGAGGTTTTCCAGGATAAAATAGTTCAAGACTTTTACCTGATTTAAAAAAAAAAGTCATCTCAGTAAAATCTAGTCACTTTGATCAATATGATGGCAAATGGTAACATACTGTAAACTTCCAGGGGCCATATACTGTACCTTTCTATTTCATTTTATTAAACACACATCCCAGGCCAATTGTGGAAAAACCTGTAACTCCACTTGGAATTACCTTGTTTCTGTTTAGGTTTTTTGTGTCTGTTCATTTTAAACTAGAATCAAGACCCTTATCACCCCCCAGGTCATAACCCTTCTCTATTGCACAGCAAGTAGTAAATGCCAGCATGCTGATTTAACATGCTTATCTGGAGAGTATGTGATTATAGCCACTTTAAAATTAGCGCAGCTTGGGTATAAAATACTTTATGATGGGTATATTACCAGTGATACTAGAATTCAAAAGCAAATTCATAGCTTCCAAGGCCAGAAGGGACCATTGTGAACATCTAATCTCACCTCCTGTATAACATAGGCTCATAGAACTTCCCCAAAATACTCCTAGGGCAGGGGTCGGCAACGTTTGGCACGCGGCTTGCTTTCCGCCGCCCCCATTGGCCCGGGACAGCGAACCGCAGCGAGTGGGGGCCGCGATCAGCCGAACCTGCCGCGTCAGCAGGTAAATAAACTGGCCTGGCCTGCCAGGGTGCTTACTCTGGCGAGCTGCGTGCCAAACGTTGCCGACCCCTGTCCTAGGGCATATCTTTTAGAAAAAAATCCAATCTCAATTTAAAAATTGTCAGTGATGAAGAATCCTTGGTAAATTGTTCCAGTGGTTAATTACCCTCACTATTAAAAATTTGTGCCTTATTTCCAGTCTGAATTTGTCTAGCCTCAACTTCCCAGCCATTGGATTGTGTTATACCTCACTCTGCTAGACTGAAGAGTCCATTATTAAATATTTGTTCCTCATGTGGATACTCATACACTGTAATTGTCACTCCTTAACCTTCTCTTTGTTAAACTAAATAGATTGAGCCCCTTGAGTCTATCACTGTCAGGCATGTTTTCTAATCCTTTAATCATTCTCATGGCTCTCCTCTGCACCCTCTCCAATTTATCAACATCCTTGAATCGTGGACATCAGAACTGGACACAATATTCCTGCAGTGGTCGCACAAGTGCAAAATAGAGAAGTAAAATAACTGTCTACTCCTATTGGAGATTCCCATTTATGCATCCAGTATTTATGAAATACAGTAAAATATTCTATGAGCTTCAGCTGCAAGTGATGAAAAAAGTTATAATATCGAACGGGACTTTGGATAGTTTTTCAATTCATAGCGCTAGGTTATATCACCAACCAAGAACACAATCTGAGGGGGTTTGAAAGTCTGAGATGTGCTGTATTTAAAACCAGATACAATTATTTTTGCAATAGACATTAGACTACAGTTTTATCCCAAATATAAAATCATAGATAAAAACAGGTGCAATGCAGATGAACTATAGAATGACCTTGTATGTCTGGATGAGCCTTACAACTAGCGCAACAAGTTCAAGCACCCTGTTAAAATACTCTTGAAAATATTGCAATCAGATAGGAGCTCCTGTATTCTGTACATATAAGGACTATTTCCAAAATACCCTTATATAGTCCTATGATGCCAGTTCATTTAAAAAAACATTTTTTTAATAAATAAATCAGAAGTTAGGTCTTCTATCCTTGCCAAACAGAAAGGAAAGGAGCATTTATAAAGTTAGGGTTGTTTATCAACAGTTATATTATTTGCATGGTGGTAGCACTTAGTGGCGCTAAGCCATGTATCTCAGCGCCATTGTGCTAAGTGCTGTAAAACAACACAGTTGCGGGACAAGAGCTGAGGATGACAAAGTTCAACTAAAGTTACTTATTCTACTGGTGTTACTTGGAGTGTCAAGTAGAATAAAAAGACAAGGAGGTAGAAAATAAAGCAGGATTATGTGAATGGGCTTGGGCATTATTAATCTCAACCAAGAACTTTATTTAACAAACAACACAATAAAAAACGCAGAATGCTTCAAGACACAGACAAATTTTAAAAATACACACTTTCAAATTACAAAGGAATACATGAGGGGGCAGCATCTATATTTAAATATTCAAGCATCACCGCTGAAAGGGATTCACCTGTGTTACCAACAGTGGTTAGAATGTACAAGCTTGATTTTCAACCTTTTTAAAACCTCACCCCAGCCTAAAAATAGGGAAAGGTTTCAGGCCCCCCAATCTAGCCATCAAAAGAAAGAGGGTGGGTGTGACACCCTTAGACCTAATTGTGACTCCTGAGTTGCGAGTCCATCATGATCAGTGCTTAGTACAACAGGACCCTAGGCCTGAGGCCTCCAGGCAGAACCGAGATATAAATTTTAGGTGGCTCAAAAGAAAAGCTGCTCCTGGCCTCTCCATCCCCCACAACTTCTCTTTGTGCTGAGGGGGCTGTGTGTCTCCTGAGTAGTTCATACCCCCTAAAGTGCCATTCTGGCTGGGGCCTGGGAACCCCATGAGGGCTTCTTCCCCCCAGCTCCTAGAGCAACTGCCAAGATTTCCACAAGTGATTTTGCGTGCCTGGTTTGTATGAAAAGGGCTGTACTTGCGGGGGTGTGGGAGAGGGGTATTGAGCCCTTGCTTTAACAACAGGCCCCTTGGGGGGGGGGTGTCACATTGGGACTCCAAAACTGAGGCATCATAACTCACTCATCACTGCTGAAGGCCTTGGCCACTTGCTCTAGGTTCACTGGGGCTGGAGCAGTCACCTCCCCCTCCCCAGTTATTCTGGGTTGCTGCCTTCCCAACCAATTCATCCACCCCCAACCTCATTTTCCCCTTGCAGCGCCCTGACCTACGCTGGGAGTCAGGAGGAGATGGGGTGCTCCTGCATTGTCTGGATAGGCTACAGACTGTGGCTGCTGCTGGGCTCAAGGAGCTGCCCTCGCCCCCTTGGAGCCCGGGCTAGGTTACTGCTCTGGCTCCAGTCTGGCCTCACCTCTCCCACTTGCTGGTCCACAGCTGCTGTGGCCAGCTGGGCCATACAATGTACTAGGGACCATGAAGCGACGCTGTTGTGCAGCTCTCCAGCACAGCTGCAGCCACACAGAACACAGGGGCTGGGCAGGGTAGGACAGGAGCAGCCAGCCCAGCAGGGCAGAGAAGTGAATGATCAAAATTAATCTCATTTGTTATGGCCCAGACTAGATTTTGACTGTTTCAATAGGTTTCCGTAGTTACAACTCTTGAGATGGGGGGTGAGTAATACTGTCCAAGGAGGGCAGTTCGGCATTTGCTTTCAAGTAGAAGGCCCTTAGTTCAGGCTGTGGTCAGTTATGCCCAAATAATGCCCCACCGTTAGGGACTGTTGGTTAAATAGTTATTAGACAGCAGGCTGTAGGGTTTTCTGAGTCCAAAACTTTATTTTTTTAATAGCCCTAGCACTGAACAAACAAGCCTCAGGTGAATGCAGTAGCAGGGGAAGTGCATGTAACTTCCAATTTGTGTCAGGATACCTAATGTTCCAATTCACTAAGTAGCAATGCTTCAGCAGTGATAAAAAGGTCCAGCAAAAGACTCATGGCACCACTGAAAAGCACTGTAAGGAAAGAAGGTACATTGCTGTGGCTGAGTAGTCAGTATGCTAGAAATGTTATTTCTAGTGCAGTATATAACAGTTCCCCTGCTTTATCTTCCTTCATAGCCCATCACAGATATTGCTGTCAATTACCTCAGACACTAGCTGGAAGCACATGTAATAAAATAAGATTATATACCTACCTTAGGTGATCAGTCACTGTGACACTAAATGTTTTTAGTAAGTCGTGTCAATCAAAGCCTGTCTACAGATATATGTAAGGCAACTGGTTTAGACAGAAGCTGTTTTGTTTCTAAACAAAACTATTTTTGACATTTAAATGGCACACGCAAGTGCAATCCACACGACTGAAAGAGCTAAATTTTAAAGTCTAAAAATCCAGCATGTTGCAGTTTAATAGATATGACTTGTCTTTTGCATACCTATTTCTCTGGAAGGATAATCTTTTCAGTTCCAAAGCATATTTCTAGCAGATTTCATTATAACAATAAAACAGTACAACAGCATGGTGGCAAAGCCTCCATCACCATATTAAAATTCTAAATCAGATGTGGTGCTCTTCCTTGCAGTCTTTAAAACAAAGAGATGAACATCTGAAGTGACAGAGAGAATCATTTGCAAGTGGCAACGTACTAGTTGTGTTTGGAAAGTATTCCAATTACCATCTAAGGATTGCGTTTCAAAACACCAATTTGAAAGAAAATAACTGTATAATGAAAACAGAAGAGCATTGTTGATCAAAATGTGGAAAATAACCGTATCAAGATGGCTCTGAAGAAGTAATTAGTTCTGCGTTTTGCATATTTAATCAAAATCAACAAAATGATCTTGCCCCAGGTTGTCACGGGTGAAGGTCAAGCCTAGTTTTCATCATGTTTTTATACAAATGCAATAGTGTCTTCATGGCAAATAGATGGCTCATAATTTCAGGGATTAAAGGCAAACAGTTAAACTACCAATTTCACACAACCAAAAGAGCACTTCTGATCTTTCAGCATATTAGGCATATTAGTGTTATGTTGGGAACTAGACTGTTTTTTGTGAAGCGCGAGGGGGGGGGGGCGGGCAAATTTTATTCTGTTTCATAAACAGGAAATATTTCATAGTATTAATGCTTTGTTAGTGACTGTAATACATCAGCCCCTATGAGGGACGCCTAGCTTCTCACAGTGTGAGCCAAAAAGCAAATCGTCAGATTATAGGTGCTTAAGTACTGTACTGGGGATGAATTTTGTGAAGCCATCAGCGTGATCTTTTCTAGGTAATGAATCCTCCAAAAGATCCTTCTGCACAGTTACACCTTTGAAATGTAGCATGTTTTTATCTAGTGATTTAAAAACAAAAACAAAACAAAAAACCCACACCATCCTGCTGGTTAGAGCCACGGCTCTCTCTCAGGCTTTGAAGCTCTAGAAGTATTGTCGACTTTTTCAAAGAATA